CCAAAAGCTTAAAATATAGCACGCACGAAATGTTGTTGAAATCCTTGTCAACAAAATGTGCCGTGATGACCATGTATGTACGAGTGTTGGGTGCAGTCCAAATATCACAAGTGAATGCAATGTTGGAGGGAAGCGCTTGAAGGTATGCACGAAGTTTACCTACATACTCATCATACTTGGCTGTCAAATCGCTTGAGATCATTTTGCGCGAAAGAATGGTCGCTTGCGGGTTGAGTCATTTCAAGTAATCCTTGAAGTATTTGTCTTCGATGTCGGAGAAGGCGATGGAGCCTCTCGAGAAGATCCGGACAATCCGCTCGTGGTTTTCACGCTCCATGTAGGCCGTCGTCCGTGTCAAGGAACGAATCATGTCCCCACATCCGCCACCTTCCTTCGTTGCGAGTTCAACTTCAAATACTCCTTAGGATGCTTCGACTTGGCGTGGTTCAGCATCGCAGGGGTGGAACTGCCCTTGACGGATATGATGCTATCAATGCTTTTGGGGGGACAATAATTGCACATTGCCTTTTCCTCGCCATCAATCTTTGAGAACATTTCCCAAATCTTGGAGATTCTAGTCTTCACACGCTTCCTACTCGGTTCGGTTGCACCAACGCCACCCACGGAACGTTGCAAATTGCCCCGACTCTCTTGAATGCGAATAGGATTGTCATTACTCGTATGTGAGAGGATTCCAACTTCGTCCGTGTTAAGGACAGGATAATCGGTTGTACGGACTCGGGAGCTCATTATGATAACAACGAACGTAGGGTTTAGAGTGTAAACGTGAAGGAACGGGATCGTGAAGCTTGTTTCTTGAGCAATTCAAGATGACAAGATAAACTATGGCTTCAAGAGGCAAGGAGGAGAGCTAGTTATACTCTCCAACTCGGTTCGCGTTTGTGCTTGTCGCAGATGGTGAATCTATTGTAAAAATTGCGTTACTGCCTTTGTTTTAGCAAGTGCGACTCTGTCTTGTGTGTTATAGCGATGGTCTTAAGGTCGAACTTTCATTTGAAGGTTTTGCGACCCAGTTCTTACTTTGGTTAGCGTCTGGGCTCTAGTACGCTTTTTAGCGAAGGCGACTCCAGCAATCCTTCAATTTTAGCAATCGCAACTGTGCTTGCCCTAAATTTTAGCGAGTGTGACGCTTTTCACCTTCGATTTGGGTTTTGCGACACTAAACCTTTTAGCAAACGCGACTCCGCAACTCTTTTGCATTTCACGATCTGTGACTTCGAAACTTTGGTTAGGTTCACATTCCTTGTCAGGGGAGAGAGGGGTGGGGGGGAGGGAGGGGGGGGTGGGGGGGCATGGAATAGTTTTTGACAAGTAGGAAACCAAGTATCCGGGTATTCGATGCCCAAGTACTCGACACCTCGAGTACTCGACAGTTGAGTATTCACGTTTGCAGTGAGGCATTCGCCTCGCCAAAGACTCGGCAAATATATGATTAAATAAATAGTATTCGAGTAATATATATTCGTTTTCCACCCTTAGCCTTAAGAAGCGTTACTCAGTAAATGCTTAGAATTTCTCGTTATCCGTCATAACGGACAGGGTAATCGCCACAACTAACAATTAGTTAGAGATGGTTCAATTATCAAGTTTCGTCTCCCCGCTAAGAGAAACCGGCAATATCATATGAACTTCTGCACTAGAAAGGGAGAAAAAAATCATAATAGAGGCAACGGTAGAAGGCCGGCTTCGCTGGGGCATACAATTCGCCCTACAGGACCCTTCCCCACGCGCAACACATCATTTCCCGTCCGCCAATACAGCGCACTCGCTTGGACACTGCATCGCCCTTCAGTGAGCAACGCCCCTCGTTGTCGCAGCGCTTCTCCTGTCGCCGTCGGATGTGCCTCCCCTCTCTCTTCAACGTCGGATACGCCTCCACCCTCGCCGTCGCAGCGCCTCCTTTCGCAGTCGCCGCGCTTCTCATGCGCGCCATCGCTGCGCCTCTCGCCTCCTCGTCACAGCGCCCTTCCCGTCGCCCTCGCCATGCCTCTCCCACGCCATCGCCCGCCTCTCCCCCTCTCTGTCGCAGCGCCTATCCCGGGGTAACATCGCCTCTTTGATCGCGGAAAAAAATGTTCATTGCGCCATCCCTGCGCGCTCTCCACCTTCTTCCCTACTCGGTCAAACACAACGCCCTGCCCTCTCTCTCCTCCGGTCCTGCTCTCCTTTCAATGCCGGCTTGTCCTATCACCCCTCTCTCTCTTATCACCCCTCTCTGCCCCGCCACTGCCCTGCCCTATCCCCTCTCTCTGCCCTTATACTCCCCCTCTGCTCTATCGTTTACCCTCTCTCTGCCCTATCATATCCCCCCTCTCTGCCCTGTCTTGTCCCCCCTCTCTGCCCTGCCATATCCCCGCTCTCTGACTTTCCTATCCCCCCCTCTCCGCCCTGTCCTATCCCCCCTCTCTCTGCTCTGTCCTATCCCCCTTCTCAGCCCTGTAATATCCCCCTTCTCTGCCCTGTCCTATCCACTCTCGTCCTATCTCCCTTCTCTGTTCTATCTCCTCTATATGACCTATCTCCCCTATCTGTGATTACACATTGTTTCCCCTCTCATTCCCTTGTGTCCCAAATGCCTCGGTCACTATGCTTCCCACTCTTGTTGCGCTCTTGCTCTCCCCTTCCTTGCCCTTATGTCTCTCATTATCTTGGAATCTGTTTCTGCTCCCCTTGACGTTTCCTTCCCACTTCCCTGTCCCTTCTGTGGTGCAGCTTGTCTAGCACGAAACAACCAAGAAGATACGTTCCTAGTTAGATTTAGGATTGTTTGGACCCTCGTCGTATCGACACACCAAATAGCAAGTTATTTACATACTACAGTCAATTTAGGGTTCTACAAATCCAATATTGATTGGCATTGGTGATGTCTTGTGACATGTAAAGGTCTCTCGTCTGGACTACATCATAATTTAGAGAACAAGAAACTGCTATATAAGGAACTAAAGGTAAGGGACAGCCTCTTTTCACGCTGCATCACAACAGGTGCACCATGCTGCCTATGCCGTTCAGCACCCCGCGTAACTTGCCCGTGTATTGCTGCAGCATCCCCTGCAACCCTCGCCCGTACTGGTGAAGGGAAACAAGGGGAAAGGGAGAGGACGGGGTTGGGGAGGGAGGGACAGGGCATGGTTAGTGATTGGGGAGTTGCGGTTGTTGCACGCATGGAATTATGGCAATGAGAGCAGAAGGGGTGGGCTTGGCTTGAAAGAGGTGCATGCGAGGGCTAGACTATGAGCGAGGGAGGCAGAAGCGGGGGTGAAGGGAGGGAAGCGAACGGCATGGTGCTGTGCACGACAGATGGGGGCCATGCGAGGTTACCTCGGGTCCGCGCACTTCTATGGCGTACGTGGGTGACCATGTCTGAGTACAATATGCCGCCCTGTCAGCACACACATACACATACAACCCATGGCATACGGTGCGTGCGTGCGTGTGTGCGCCGCCACCTGCGCCGCCACGTCCATGCGTGCACGCTCCATCACGCTCATTCCCTCCACCACCATCCGCGCCTCCTCCTCCGCCGCCTGCCTTGCTGCCTCCGCCTCTCTCGAGTGTGCCTCCCTTGCCTGCGCCGACTCCCGCCCCCACTCCTCCGCTGCCGACTCCGCCGCGGCCAGCTGCTCAGCGTGGCGCAAATCCTCCGTCTGATCCTCCGCCTGCGCCACCTCCCCGCGCAATCCTCCACGCACCCCTCTAGCGTTTGCAGCGTGGCGCGGAGCGACGCGATGGCTGTGTCCTTTTCGCGCACCGCCTCCTTCACCACGTCGTCGCGCTACTCCACTACCTCACCCCACGAGTCTGCGGCACCTTGTTTGGGCGCGAGGCCGTCGATGATCCTGAATTTCCCTTTCAAGCTTCTGTTTATCTGCTCCACTGTCATTCGCGCCCTGCTTTGCTGCTTGTTGAAGATAGCCTTTGTAGGGTTGTAGCAGACAAAAATCGCCGAAGCCCAGAAAACAATAGAGCGTTTGGCAAGTTGTTTTCTAAGTTAATAACCTCCCGCCCCCACTCCTCCGCTGCCGACTCCGCCGCGGCCAGCTGCTCAGCGTGGCGCAAATCCTCCGTCTGATCCTCCGCCTGCGCCACCTCCCCGCGCAATCCTCCACGCACCCCTCTAGCGTTTGCAGCGTGGCGCGGAGCGACGCGATGGCTGTGTCCTTTTCGCGCACCGCCTCCTTCACCACGTCGTCGCGCTACTCCACTACCTCACCCCACGAGTCTGCGGCACCTTGTTTGGGCGCGAGGCCGTCGATGATCCTGAATTTCCCTTTCAAGCTTCTGTTTATCTGCTCCACTGTCATTCGCGCCCTGCTTTGCTGCTTGTTGAAGATAGCCTTTGTAGGGTTGTAGCAGACAAAAATCGCCGAAGCCCAGAAAACAATAGAGCGTTTGGCAAGTTGTTTTCTAAGTTAATAACCTCCCGCCCCCACTCCTCCGCTGCCGACTCCGCCGCGGCCAGCTGCTCAGCGTGGCGCAAATCCTCCGTCTGATCCTCCGCCTGCGCCACCTCCCCGCGCAATCCTCCACGCACCCCTCTAGCGTTTGCAGCGTGGCGCGGAGCGACGCGATGGCTGTGTCCTTTTCGCGCACCGCCTCCTTCACCACGTCGTCGCGCTACTCCACTACCTCACCCCACGAGTCTGCGGCACCTTGTTTGGGCGCGAGGCCGTCGATGATCCTGAATTTCCCTTTCAAGCTTCTGTTTATCTGCTCCACTGTCATTCGCGCCCTGCTTTGCTGCTTGTTGAAGATAGCCTTTGTAGGGTTGTAGCAGACAAAAATCGCCGAAGCCCAGAAAACAAGAGCGTTTGGCAAGTTGTTTTCTAAGTTAATAACCTCCTATAAGAATGTCGACTCCACTGGGGATCGAACCCAGAATCTCTGGTTCCGTAGACCAGCGCCTTATCCATTGGGCCATGGAGTCACGCGTTTCCGGATTTTGAAAACGTCCTAGGGCGGTTAAATTAATGTAGAACTGGTTATGGCAGGATAGCTGGGCAGCTGGTGGGGATGGCAGAAACTGGGGCTAAAGGAGCTGCAGAGGATAGGGCTGCATGCACGAGCCGGACAGCACGGGCAGCAAGGGCGGCACAAGCCACAGCAGGGGCGGCAGAGGCCACACCGGGGGCGGCAGAGGCCACAGCAGGAGCGGCGGATGCCGCAGCAGGGGTGGCAGAGGCCATAGGAGAGGCTGAAGAAGGGGCAGCAGGAGCCGCAGCGGGAACGACAGGTGCTGCTGCGGATGGGGCTGCAGAAGCACCAGGACTGGCCTCAGGAGCTGCTACAGAAGCGGCAGCTCCTGCTTTGGTGCGGATGGCAGCAGATGGGGCTGCAAGAACAATAGAGGGCGGAGCTGTAGGAGCACCTGCCACAATTAACTTTAAACCTTAACTTGAAATATTTCCGTGCATGTTGTATCATTTTCTTGTGCTCGGATACGGGTTTTTTTTTTTTTTTTTTTTTTTTTTTTTTTTTTTTTTCTTATGGGTTGCAAACACTATCGTTACTACCGTATCCTTACTACTCACTGATTCCAAGCTTCGCTTAATTTCCAGAGCAGCCTGTTCAGTCCTCACCAGCATTACCATCGCCCCCTTCATCACTAGCGCTAGCATCAGCAGCATCATCAGGCTTGGCTTCCCCAGCAGCAGCAGGCTTGGCTTCCCCAGCAGCACCAGGCTTGGCTTCCCCAGCAGCACCAGGCTTGGCATCCTCCTGGGGGAGGCACAACTGGCGCAGGTTGTACTTGGCAAGGGCCTTGAAATCGTCTAAGATGGAGATGAAACAGATGGTCTGGGGGGGAGGGAGGGAGGGAGAGAACAGGGTGGGGTGGGGGAGGAAGAGGGGGAAGAGTAATATGGGGTAAACATTGTGTACTTGGCAAACAGATGGTCTGGGGAAGAGAGGGAATGGAGGGGTGGAATAGGGGAGACTGAGAGAATGAGTTCAGTGAGGGAGAGGCTTGGCTTGGCTTCCCCAGCAGCACCGGGTTTGGCTTCCTCCTGGGGGAGGCACAACTGGCGCAGGTTGTACTTGGCTAGGGCCTTGAAATGGGTGAGGATGGAGATGAAACAGATGGTCTGGGGGAGAGAGAGGGAGTGGAGGGGTGGAATGGGGGACACTGAGAACATGAGTTGAGTGAGAGAGTGGGCAGTGGAGATAAGAAGGAAAATGACGTTAGATAGCCTGAAATACCTGGATGACGAATTCCATTAAAAGGTGGCTTCGCCCGGACTTGAACCGGAGACCTTCAGTGTGTTAGACTGACGTGATAACCAACTACACCACGAAACCACATGCTGAAAGATGACAACACCTCATTTTAAACGTCCTATCAAAGTCCAACTTTGGAGGGTTGTAGATTGCAATACAAAGAAGCCAACAAAACAAAAACTGCTAATTGGGCAAGAAGCAAACTATTCACCAAGCAGACTACATCAGTAACATATCTCAAACCCCGCAAAACCAGATATACGGGGTACAGGCACCAGATTGGCATACCATTTGTTCATGAATTTACTGCGTGTACATGCATGCATGTCATACCTTCACCATTTGCAGCATGATGGTCTTGTCTGAATTGCTGATGTCCACTAGATGCGGTACATGCCCCAACTTGGTTGATAAGCATACACCATGGGTCATGCATGTATGTACGTATATCATACCTTCACCATTTGCAGCATGATGGACTTGCCCAAGTTGTTGAAGTCCACTATATGGGGTACATGCCCCAGCTTGGCATACCATGGTCAATGAACATACAGCATGCATGCACGCCATACCTTCACCACCACTTGCAGCATGATGGACTTGTCAGGATGGCGGAGATCCACTCTATGCAGAGCAGGCAGCAGCATGATAAACCATACCACAACTGATGAACACACAGCATGGTGCACGCATGTATGCATGTCGCACCTTCACCATTTGCAGCATGATGGGCTTGTCTGATTTGCTGAGGCTTGTCTGATTTGCTGGCATCCACTCTAAGCGGTGCAGGCACCAGCTTGATATACCATACCATCACGATCAATAATGGTTTTGTCTGGGTTCCCAAGATCCACATTATGCGGTGCAAGCACCAGCTTGATATACCATACCATCACAATCAATAAACACACAGCGTGGTACATGAGCAGACCGCATGTTGCATGAGTACACAGCATGGTGCACGCATGTATGCATGTCATACCTTCACCACTTGCAGCATGATGGTGTTGTCTAGGTTCCCAAGATCCACTTTATGCGGAGCAGGCACCGCATTAGCATACCATGCCTAGAAATGTACAGCCCGGTGCATGCATGTCATACCTTCACCACTTGCAGCATGATGGTCTTGTCTGGGTTCCGTAGGTCCACTTTATGCGGAGCAGGCACCAGCTTTGCTACAGTGTCGATCACGCCTGCTCTCTCAAGCCCTTCGTTGGCTCGCTTCTCAAATATGATTCCGAACTGTACAGGAAAGAGGAGGCATGTAACGGGATGCAAGGGGTGCCTATAAAGAGGATGCACACTGAACCCAGAAGTGAAAGATCAAGGCTGTCGTCGCATCACTTTCATAGGTTAGTTGCAAACATTTGGTCGCAGAAAACATGTACAAAGGGAAAGCAGAGTGACTTTGATAGCGGGCTTCGGTGTGTAGAGAGTATGAACAGAGGTAAGCCTGCAAGGGAAAGGTCAAGCTCTGTATTGACCAGAATTTCAAGTGACTTTTGAGTCGACTCAAAGGCCAAGCTTTGTATCTACCAGAATTTCAAGCTGTACACACTAGAAAGTAAACCTCAGAGGAAGAATATCATAAGTAAACATAGCTCCGGCGTTTCGTATTAGTGATGTGTAGTTTTTGACGTCTCAAAAACACCCTCTCTACACATAGCTCCGGCGTTTGGTATTAGTGATGTGTAGTTTAAAGAAGCGAAGGAACTTCTCACTGATTTGCGCTTCATCAACCTATGCTATGCAGACCTCTTTTTCTGATTTTCCTGTTTACCTTTGCTTTTATGATGACTAAGTGCACAGGACGCAAAAAATGGGTGGGATGTGTTGTGCGCCTATAGAGAGGATGTGCATAGGGGGGATGTGCGCCTATAGGGATCATGTGGTCATCAACACACACCTTTTGAGTCGACTTGAAAAAGGGCGTGGGCATCTAAGCATCAAAGCCTTGAAGCCTGAACACACACCTTGAAGCGGAAAGAACGCGAGCAAGGCTGTACCGAGGATGAACAGTGGCCTATCGCAAAGCAAACCCCCTACCTTTGAGGCGCCTCAACAGTTGAAGTGGAAAGAACGCGAGCAAGGCCGTACCGAGGATGAACAGTGGCCTATCGCAAAGCAAACCCCCTACTTTTGAGGCGCCTCAACAGTTGAAGTGGAAAGAACGCGAGCAAGGCCGTGCCGAGGATGAACAGTGGCCTATCGCAAAACAAAGCCCCGACCAAGGGACCGTAGTCACACGTACCGTTGATCCCTTGGATTGGGCCTCTGACGTGTCGCTTGCTGATTGGCCAACCGGGGGGAAGTGCGTAGCAATGAGAGGCTTGATGGCCGAGGCGATCTCCTCTTGGGAGGCGTAGCACGTGGTTTCCACTGGCAGCAGGCGGAGGGTGAAGCTGGGGGGAGGTGAATGGAGCAGAGGGGAGAAGGGAGGCAGTTAATAGCAACGAAGAGGAAAAGAGCAAGGGTGAAGATGGATGAGAGTGAATGGATGATAGACGGAAATGAGTGCACTTAGTGAATAAAGAGACACCACATTTTCCTTGACAAAGGCTACCCCGCACCCACTGCCCCACACCCACTGCCCCACACCACATCCACTGCCCCACATCCACTGCCCCACACCCACCGCGTGGCTGACTGCTGGGTTGCCTTGGCATGCCGCAGCACCGCCTCTGCCAACTCACACGGCGACACCCTTCCCTGCTCTCCCCCCGCCTCCCCTTTCTCCCCCTCCCCTCCCTGTCCCTCCTTCTCCGGTTCCTTCTCTCCTCCTCCTGTAACCTCTTCCTCCTGCTCTTCCTCCTGCTCTTCCTCCTGCTCTTCCTCCTGCTCTTTCTCCTGCTCCTTTTCCCCGGCCTTATCTCCCTCCTTCGCCTCCTTGTCTCCTTCACCCTTCTCCTCCTCCTTTTCCCCTTCCTCCGTCTTCCCCTCCTCCTCCTTCTCACCCTCCTCCTCCTTCTCCTCTCCCTCCAACTTCTTTCCTCCCTTCTCTCCCTTCCCCCCCTTCCTGGCATCCTCTCTAATCCTCACGAACAGCAGCGCCTTGCACCCAGACTCCACACTCACGAACCGAGGCTGAGGGATGTCAAGGGGCGGGCGAATGGTAGGGGCAAGGGGAGGGAGAAAGACGAGTGGAGGGAGAAAGACGAGCGGAGGGAGAGGAGACGTGATTGGAAATTCCACTGAGCATTCTCACGAACAGCAGCGCCTTGCACCCAGAGTCCACACTCGCGAACCAAGGCTATGGGATGTCGAGGGGAGGGCGAACAGCAGGGGCAAGGGGAGGGAGAAAGACGAGCAGAGAAAGGGGAGTGAGAGGGAGAGGGAGGGGTGATGACGGATCCTCAGAAACAGCGGCGCCTTGCACCTAGACTCCACACTCACAAACCGAGGCTGAGAGGGAAGGGAGGGACATGACGAGGGACAAAAAAAAACGTTTTTTCTCAAACAGCAGTGCCTTGCACCCAGACTCCACACTCACGAACTGAGGCTGAGGGATGTCAAGGGGCGGGCGAACAGGAGGGGCAAGGGGAGGGCAACCGGTAGGGGCAAGGGGAGGGAGAAAGACGATGGGAGAGAGAGGAGGAGCGATAAGGGTTTCCACTTAGCATTCTCGCAAACAGCAGCGCCTTGCAGCCAGCGAGACTCCACACCCCGAAGTGAGACCAGGTGAGAGCGTTCAGGACAAGGGGAGGGACAAGACGAAGGGCAAGGGGAGGAAGAGGGAGGGAAAAGAGGATTGCGAGAGAGGGAAGTGATGGGTGTTTGTGCTGGGCATTTATGAGAACAGCAGCGCCTTGCACCCAGACTACACACTCATGAACCGAGGCTGAGGGGCATGCACAAGGAAGGGAGGGAGAAGAGAAAGGAGGGAACAAGGAGGCGAGGATGCACAAGGGGAACAAAACAGGGGCACCTGGTAGCCTGAGGCACGATTGCAATCGAGCCTGAGGGACACAGGGAGAGGGAGGGATACGAGGGGAGGGAGTGGGAGGGAGATAAGGGGAGGGTGAAGGAACAACAAGGGGAAAGGAGGGAAAAGGCACCCACCTACCCATCCCACGCACCTGTGAGCCGCTGCAAAACACACACACCTGTTTCCTCAAACCCCTCTCCACACACACCTGTTTCCTCTAACCCCCTCTCCACACGCACCTGTTTCCTCAAACCCCCTCTCCACGCGCACCTGCTTCTTGAGCGCAGCCACTTCATTCGCCAGCAGCGCATCGATGGACGAACCTCCCTTCGGCTTCCCCTCCATTCCCTCAACACGCGCACGCACCCGTGAGGCTCCCCCTTCCCCACGCACCCGTGAGGCTCCCCCTTCCCCACGCACCTGTTTCTTGAGTGCAGCCACTTCATTCGCCAGCAGCGCATCGATGGACGAACCTCCCTTCGCCTTCCCTGCAGATGCACCTTCCCCAGTCCGTGCCTCCCCCTCCCCCTCCCCCTGCGCCTTGCCGGCCTCCAGCTTGTCGCACCACTGTGTGTGGGGCGAACAGGGAAAAAGCAACATCAGCTCAGTCAGCTAAGCCCTCCCCAGCCACCTCCCCCAGTGCTTGCCTCCACCCCTCCCTTGGAACGGAATGGAACACACACCGTAGTGGACGGACCGTACTACTCTTGGAACCTCATGAGAGTGGAACACGTGATAAAAGTGATGTTTTGAGACGTCTCACAACCTCGCGCGAGAGGAACACACACCTTCAACTTCCTAAACCCCCTCACCTCATCCAGCACGTTCACTTCATCCAGCACGTTCACCTCATCCAGCACGTTCACCTCATCCAGCACGTTCACCTGAAAGCCCCCAATCCCCTGTGCGCCTCACCTCATCAAGCACGTTCACAATCTCCCGCCCGCACTCTCTCTCCCTGCCAGTCATACTCGACACCAGCCAACCCCTGTTGCCATTCGCGATGGAGCCCGCCCCTCCCCCGCTCTGTGGGGCACGAGGGGGAGGAGCAGAATGGAGGAGGAACAAAAGTAAGAAATTACTTTGATTCGACTCAAACGTCAACTCGCCCGCACTCCCTCTCCCTGCCGGTCACACTCCACACCAGCCACCCCCCGCTGCCATTCCTGATGGGGCCGCTCACCCCCCGCTCTGAGGGGAGCGCGAGGAAGGAGCAGGAGGGGAGCAGCAGCAGGATGGGCGGCAGAAGGGGGAGGAGGAGAGAGGCAGACAGGTGAAGAGCCAAATGGGGAGGAGGGAGGAGAAGAAGACGGAGGCAGAGGGGGGAGGAGAAGAATGGGGAGGAGGAGAAGGGGGAGGAGGAGAAATGGGGGAGGGGAGAAGGGTGAGGAGGAGCAGCAGGGGGGGGCACAGAAGGGAGAGGAGGAGAGGAGAAGAAGGGGGGGGAGCAGAAGTAAGAAACGGTTGCAAACCACCTCCAATCCCTCCCCCTGCCAGCCCCCTTGCTGCCATACATTCTGGGCGCCGCCTTCCCCCCATTCTGGAACATAGGGTTTAGGGTGAAGGAGCAAAGGACGAAACAATCGATCCTTCACCTGCACTCTCGCTCCCTGCCTGCTGCTGCCCGCCGCCACTTCGAAAGAGGAGATCGAGGTTGGGGTTTTGGGTGCATGGGAGAGCGAGCAACAACAAAGGGTTTCGGGTTTTGGGTGCATGGGAGAGAGCGAGCAACAACCAAGAGTTTCGGGTTTTGGTTGCATGGCAACGGAGATTCGTGGGCCGGGATGTTGGAGGGAAGAGAGACGGCGGCGGTGGGGGGAGGGGAAGGGGGACAGCGGGGTTGGGGGGAGGGGAAGGGGGACAGCGGGCGACACGGGCCGGACGGGTGAGGACCAGAGGAGAGAGGCGACGGCGGGAAAATTCGCTCTGGGTAAAACCAAGTGCTCAAAGCGATATCAGGACCAGAGGGGAGAGGCGACAGCGGAAAAATCCGCTCTGTGTAAACCTAAGTGATCAAGGCGATCTCAGGACCAGAGGGGAGAGGCGGCGCCGTGGGAGCACACGATGGGAGGAGGAGAAGAGAAGGTAGGGAAGACGGAGGTGTGTGCGCGAGCGGGAGGAGAGGGCACGAAAGGAAAGCGGGGGAAGGGGTTGAAGAGGAAGGGCGGGAAGTGGGGCGGATCGGGCTGGTGAGCGCACGCCGCCGCGGAGATCACAGCGGCGACGCCGCCAAGATCATAGCAGCGGCGACGCGCAACGGATGCTGCCGCGACTCGCGACCGAAACGCGACTGAACGCGCCTGCAGAATTGTCGCTGATTAACGTCGTTATTCGTCTCTCAGCCAAGAAATACATTGTTACACGCCTGCCGGTTTATGTTGACTAATGCGTCGCGACATAAGTCTAAAGGCTCACAGCGTTCAAATATCGCGACTTGTGCCGCTTCGATTTCCCCCGACCTCCATTACCGCTCCGATTGCCCTCCGCCTCGCGCTTTCCGCGACCCATGTGCGATTGTATGGCCGTGGCTACCGATCAAACGAGGCAAACGCTCAATGGCTGGTTTGCGCAACACGTATGTGTATTACAATAAACAAGCATGCTCAGGCCCAGTAGCACAAACCTCCAATCTCTCAGCCTATTTAACGGGTTCAATACCCGCCTGGTCCTTTTGTTTTATCCACCTCAAGGCTCCGCTTCCATTCACATCTTATCTAAAGATGTTTTCTCACTACTTGTTACGGGTGCAATGAATCGAAGAAGCTAGAATTGCACTAAGGTGTCAAACGAGTGCAAAATGTGAGCGAAGGCATGAGCGAACATTTATACGCGAAACATGCAAACGGTAACGCGGTGCGTGCGAGCTATCTAGTGCTACACTGGCAGCGAGGCTCGAGCTAGTCCCGAAGCGTAGGCCGACACGGCCGGGCCAGCAGTGCGAGGTTTGGTGAAACAGTGCGCGCGAAGTCGGCGAAGCCCCGTTAGTAGTAACGGGCGAACAACGGCTGATGCTGTACGCGATGGTGCAGGGCGCGCTAAGGAATGTCGAGAAAATTCCTTACACTACTCTGGGGCATTCTTCTTTCATATCATACTCGTCGTCGGATCCCTTTTTGTTGTAAGCCTCAACCACCTTGACTGGTTTTTTTCGGACGTGCTTGTCGTCTACACCTTCGTTGTGTTGCTTCGTTGGTGTAGGAGATTTTTCTTTACTGAGTTTCGCTGCGTGTCGAACAATTCCGACTTTCAAACAGAAAGGTTCGGACATATGCCATCTAACCAGCAGCTATATCGCGTCGTTTTCAGACTTCGCGCGCAACCTTGATTTCCGAGGTCACTGCCTATTTAGGGTCCCCGTTATATCCTCCCTAGGTTTCCATTTGTTTGACAGGGACTTTGAGGCACGTCTTTGATATTCCCTATTCCACCCACACTACTATCACAACTCACATCACTTGCTATCTTAGCCATATACCGTACACAATTTACCCCCCGCTTCGAGGTAGTTTAGTCAATCGGGTGTGATTGGCGACGAGGGTTGCAAGGGCTTTGAGTTGAACGTTCAGGGTTGGTCAACCATTTTTTTTTAGAGTACATTGCTAGTTAGGACTGTTGGTAGCTTAATTTCTTTTGTAATCTGATACGAAATGCTATAATTCTCTGATATATTCACTTCTCTCATTCTAGATTCACTCTAACTGTCATTTTGGATTCACCTCCAGAATCAGCACCCCCAGAACCTCTAGTAGCAACACCCTCAACCCACCAACACGAGGACCCTTAGACCCCCTGAGGCAGCACCCATAGAACCAGCACCCGCAAAACCCGCTCCTCCAGAGTCACCATCCCCAACAGCACCAGGGCCCCCAGATTCCACAACGACAGGCTGCAGCGGAGGCGGCAACATGGGGGGCGGAGACGGCTGAGGTGGAAAATCAGGAGGTGTTTCTAAGCGCGACTGGTAGCGAGAAGCCGCTGTATTGTTAGCAGCATTGTCACCCCCCTAAGCCGGGCCAAAGGAGTCTGAGGAGACCTCCAAAGGCACAGCCGAGGGGAGTGGGGTGGCGTGAGACACACCTGAAGGAGCAGAACGAGGGGGGAGGGGGGGGGTCTACCTGGGGGGGACCTGGAACCAGGAAGAGACGGATGAGGGCACATGGCAACTGCGGTAGGGGTAGAGACGGTAGTAGAAGACCGACTTGTTAAAGGTGGCTGGGTGGTAAAACTGTCAGTCAGGCGCGTCGGCTGGAAAGCCAAGGTGTCAAATGTGTTTATATGTCTGTACGTTGTAGTGGGGTAGCCTCTATTGAGTACAACACTTAAGGGTTAGACCTAGTAATTGTACTCATCTCATGCTTCTACTCGATCATTCCTACACGTTATTTCTGACATGGTATTCAGAGCAGGTCCCTCCGTAGGACCGCTCCGTTAGGGCCCACCGCTAGCTTCGAACTGCCCGTACTGCCCTGCCCGTTCGTTCCTGCCCTGCCCGGACAGCGTCCCTCACGCTGCCCTGCCTGCTCTACCCCACGCGCTCTGCCCTGCCCTGCATGCTGCCCGCTTGCTGCTCAGCGCGCGACCCGCACGCTGCCCTGCTAGCGCCCTGCTCTGCACGCGCGCCGCCCTGCCCCGCAGCCTGCACATTGCCCTGCCCTGCAGCCCGCGCGCCGCCCTGCCCTTCAGCCCGCGTGCGGCCCTGCCCTGCAGCCCGTGTGCCGCCCTGCCCTGCAGCCCGCGCTCTGTCCTGCCCGCGCTGCCCTGCAGCCCGCGCTCTGTCCTGCCCGCGCTGCCCTGCAGCCCACACGCCTGCGCTGCCCGCGCCCCGCCCGCCCTGCTGCGCCCCGCACGCCCTGCTGCCCGCGGGCTGCCTTAGCTGCCAGCGCGCTGCTCTAGTTGCATACGCACTGCCCTAGCCACTACACTGCCCTTCATGGCAAAGCCGCTGGTCTTAGCGGTTGACGCCGATGGACGGCCGTACAGGTTAGGGTTCTGGCTTATGTGCATGCGCTTGCATCTCCGGCGTTACATTAGAGATGGCGTCTCCCTACTCGAGCACACGTCGGGGTCACTTCCGGCCTCTCCGACTCCTACTGAGCCTCCTGCTGACGCTGGCGAGGACGTGTAGAGGCGGTACCTGGCGGGCACCCTTGCCTACAGACAGTGGACGGAGCGCGATGCTGTCGCATAGCGTGCCGCCTGAGCTCTCCTGCCGGTCGACCAGAGGGACCACTTTCGACAGGTAACGTCGGCCCAGACTTTGTTCGACGCTGTTGATAGCCACAACTCCTCCCTCTCTCCTGCCACTCGGCCACTGCAGCAGCGGCGTCCGTTGTTGGAGGAGGTGCAGCCGCTCGTCGTGGAGGAGAGTGTAGGCACCTGTACGTCTGCTCCAGCAGGTGGTGCCACTAGTGGAGGCGGTGGTTCTAGAGATGGTCAGCAGCGGCAGCATATTCAGCCGGAGACCCCCTCGCCGAAGCAGCTTCAGTGGTTTTCTCAGCAAAACGCCCCTAGTAGTGTAGAGGCAACTAGTGTAGGTGCATGTGAGCCTGCTAGCACTGTTGCAGCTCCTGTGGAGGCTTTGCACATCTTCACGCCTGACTGAGGCGCGACTCGGTGCTTCTTCCACGACTGCACCACAATCACACCGCTCACTATACCTGTCCCGATCAGTCTGGCTGACCCCTGGCATCAGCTCAACCTCTGGCACCGTGTCTCTGTGCCAGAAACCTTGCCTACACTGCGTTGGACAGGGGAGGTTGGCGATGCGTCGGCGTTTCGGGTCTGGGGCGCGCTCTCCCTTGTCCGCGATACCACCGCGGGCAAGCTTTTTCCTCGCACTCTCCGCTGCGTCTTCCATGGCTTCCCCACCGACGCCCCGCCCTGGCAGCTTTACCACCCTGCCTTGTACCGCGTCTTGTCCTCACTGGACGTCACGTTTGACGAGTCGGTCTGCTTCTACCGTCTCCACCCGCACGTGTCTTCTCCAATAGTCCCGCTGCCCCTCTTCCTAGTCCCAGGTCCCCCCCCGGTAGACCCCCTCCCCCCACAGGGTCCTGCTCCCTCGGATGTGTTGGACCACGGTAGCAGTCTCGCAGACAAGAGACCCTCTCGCCGCAGCAGCTTCACGACTGGGTTGTTCGGAGGGGCCGGGTTGCTGGAGCTCGGAGTACTGGAACTGGAGGTGCTGGAGCTGGAGGTGCTGCTGGTACTGGAGGTGTTGGAGCTGCTCATGCTGGAGGTACTGGAGTTGTTGGTGCTGGAGGTACTGGAGCTGCTGTTGCTGGAGGTGCTGGAGCTGCTGGTACTGGAGGTGCTGGAGCTGCTGGTGCTGGAGGTGCTAAAGCTGCTGGTATAGGAGGTACTAGAGCTGCTGGTGCTGGAGGTGCTGGAGCTGCAGGTACAGGAGGTACAGGAGCTAGACGTACTGGACCTGCAGGTACTGGAGGTACTAGAGCTGGAGGTGCTGGAGGTGCTTGAGCTGCTGGTGCTGGAGGCTCTGGAGGTACTGGAGCTGCTGGTGCTGGAGGTGCTGGAGGCAC